TCAGGCCCCTCCGCTTTTTGCAAGCCAGACTCGGGGGCTCTGCTTGGCCGGCGAGCCGCCCCTCCGCCCCGGCTCCCTCCCGCCAGTCCGTGGAGCGCGCACCGCCTTGCCGCCCTTCCTACCCTCTTCCGTGGGCCTCTCGTCTGCGCTTGGCTCCGGCGACTCCGTTCTGCTAATCCTCTGGCGGTTTTCTGGGTTATTTAGGCAGGTGTAGGTGGAATCTAAGTGATCAGCAGGACGCGCGGTGAGCCCAGCGTCCTCCTACGCCGCCATCTTCCCTCCCTCCCAGAGAGCCCCTGTCCTTAAAGGGCCTTATAAGACAAAAGTCAGAAATCAAAGAGCAGAGGGAGAAGTGGGTTTCTCCAGAGGTAGGTGGTAGGATGACCTTGAGGGGGAAATTGGCTCTGAGCTTCCTGGCAGCCTAGGCAAAGAGGGAAACGTGTGACACTGTGGCTCAGACAGGCAGAGGGAGCAGACCAGTTCAGTGGAGAGCTTGTCTTCCTTGGCTAAACTAGGAGAAAGTGGCCTCAGGAAGCATGTCAGGGCCACTGTCCTGTGGAAGCCTCTTCCCTGGAGTTTCCCTGGCCCCAGGAATGGTGTGCTGCCAGACCTCCGTGGAGTAAGAGAACCTGAGTTTGTTACTATTTTGCCAGGTGGCCCTGGGTGAGGGAACATCCCTGCTCAGTGTGGAATAATTTTTGACACTGGAGTCGGCAATGTTGAGATGATTTGTTGGAAGAATGGAGGCAAAATTTTTGTCACCAATTCTTGCCACCCGCTGTCCAGATACCCTGGAGATAGACTAAAGGGGACATTGTGTTCTCAGGGCAGTTTGAAGGCCAGGGCACACAGGCCTGAGCTTTGGGTGGGAGCATGGCCACCCTGTGAGAAGGGCAGAGGCCAGGTCTGACTGACAGCCATTGGGACAGAAATGTTCACATGGAGGCTAGCTTGCCAGGCCAGGCCAGCCTCGGGAGGTGGCCCTGTTTAGGCTGTGAAGAGCCTTCTGAGGTCACACTGTGCAGATGAGCAAATGAGGTGCAGTGAGGGGCTGGGCACACAGGGTCTCCTTCCTCTGCATCGGGAACTGCTAAGGGAGGTGCAGACCTGAGCTTCAGAGGTGGCAAATCAGGCCCCAGGGCCCAAGTGGGGAGGGCTCTCAAGTATGTACTGTCCCCCCTCCTCTGCAGAAGGTGGGCTGTGATGGAGTGATCGGCTCCAGCAAGCAGGAAGATAAGTGTGGCGTGTGCGGAGGGGACAACACCCACTGCAAAGTGGTCAAGGGGACGTTCACACGCTCCCCCAAGAAGCTCGGTGAGTGAGCCCGTGCCCCCGGCCCCCGGTGTCTTAGTGTCTGCAGCACCTGGCAGGGCGCTGGGGTGGCCGTGAGTTGGAGGGAGAATGCTAACGCAGGTACAGCTTGAGCCAGGCCCCAGGGTGGATGGGGCATGGAGGCCGGGTCTCAGGTGACAGGGCAGAGAACACCAACGTGCAGGTGCACAGGGCAGATCTTAGAAGTGTTTATTTGAGAGCAAGGGGTCTGAGTCCATTGCTCCCTGCCTGTCTGCTCCAGCCACCAGCTAGCTTTCACAGGACTTTCCTGTAGCACAGACGGCGAAGCCACAGGATGGGGCCGGGGAACAGGGGTCCCAGCCGACCTGAGCTCTGGGAAAACAGACCTCTGGGTGGGCCTGAAGCAGGCGAAATGTACTCTGTCTGAAACCTAGAGAAGCCCCTCTGGTTTGCCTCTTCAAAGAAGGCTGTGGCCTTCACTCAGAGCCGGTGCTGGGGTGTGGGGATGACCCTCTCCATGGCCCCACAAGAGCCCAGGGGTCTTCGGTCTGCAGGTTAAGTGGCTGAGGTCCGGGAGGCCAAGCGGTTTGCTGAGGGCCTCCCTCCCAGACATGGCATCTTAGCTCCAAGCCCAGGCCTGCCTCCAGGAATCACAAGGATTCCTGCCAAGTTTTCAGCAGAGGAGGCCAACGGAGTGCCTGGGATTTGAAGGGGTGTGGAAGGGCCTGGGCCAGCTGGGACACAGTAACTCCCCCATCGGGCCTTGTCTGGGCAGGCGGTCAAAGCCCACAAAACATGGGGCCCTCTGGCCCCTCCTCGTGTCGTCTGCATTCCAGTGGCCTCCTCCGTCTCATTTCGCTTTGTCTCCCCACATCCCAACAAAGGTTACATCAAGATGTTTGAGATTCCGGCAGGAGCCAGGCACCTGCTCATCCAGGAGGCAGACACTACCAGCCACCACCTGGGTGAGTCCCAGAGCCCAGGCGATGCAGCGTCTCTGAAGCCGGGCAGTTCTGGGGATGGTTAGTGGGCCCAGGGGTCAAAGGTCAGGCTCCCCTGTTCCTGGCTCAGCCCACCTGGGAGATCTTTCCTGGGTTCACCTCCTGCTGGAGATCAGAGGGCTCCTCTGGCAGCCACTGCGGGGGGACAATGTGTCTAAAACATGCCACACCCCCAGCCCACAGAATGGTGACTGCCTACCCCCTCCTCCATCTCAAGGCCCAGGGGGAAGGCCCCCCCTTCCCTGACCTACCGGAAGGCAGGCAGATTTTGCAGGCAGAGTCCTGGCAGCAGCCCCCACACCAACGAGAAGGCACCAGGGCTGGCCTGAGGATGGGCTCACAAACTTCATTTGCATATTTTCGATTAGCTTAATTTTAATTTTTTTAATGGTTATTTATTTTTGAGAGAGACAGAGACAGAGACAGACTGTGAGCAGGGGAGGGGCAGAGAGAGAGGGAGACACAGAACCCGAAGCAGGCTCCAGGCTCTGAGCTGTCAGCACAGAGCCTGACGGGGGGCTCAAACCCATGAACCACAAGATCATGACCTGAGCCAAAGTTGGACACTTAACTGACAGAGCCACCCAGGTGATCCCTCAACTGGTTTAATTTTAAATTCAAGAGATTCTACCTGGAATAGTGATTTCTGGCATCTCTTGAAAGTGTGGATGTTCTAACAACTCTTCCTCTTCTCATGTGGCAGCCCCTGTCTGCCTGTGCCCTCTGTGCCCTCTGAGACGGCCTCACAGGGCTTCGCCCATCCTCACCCCACCTGCTGAAGACACCTGGACCCTACCTCCTGGGTAGTTGTGGGCTGGAGTCTGAAGTGATGCCAGGGGGCCACTGGGGAGATCCTGGACAAGTTCCTTCTCCCAGTTTGGGCCCCACCTTCCTCCTAATGCTCTGGAGCCCGGACTGGGTCAAGGGCTCCCAAACTGCCACTGTCTGGCACCCCCAGTGACACACGGCAAACACACCACTCTCTTATTAAAAGCACATTTTTCTTCCTTCCCTATTTTAAGAGGAAGCTTTGTATTGCTACCAAAATGCAAACGCAGTACCACTTGCCTTAAATGGAAGATGAATCTAAAAGTTGATTCCCAAAAGAAAAGACACTTCTATCTAAAGGGTTTCCAGGGTGCCTGGGTGGCTCAGTCAGTTAAGCGTCTGACTTCAGCTCATGAGTGATCTCACAGTTTGTGAGTTCAAGCCCCACACTGGGCTTTGTGCTGACAGCTCAGAGCCTGAAGCATGCTTCAGATCCTTTGTCTCCCTTTCTCTGCCCCTCCCCTGCTCACACTATATCTGTCTGTCTATCTCAAAAATATATAAACATTTAAATTAATTAAATAATTAATTACGGGTTTCCTGCTGAAGGCTCCAGGTCTGAGACCTGGTCTCTCTGCACAGGAGGAGCCAGGGTTGGTGACCCGCTGAGGACCTACTGGCACCTGCTGAGGCTTTCTTTTATGGTGCGGACAGAGAGTGACAGGAGACTCATGCAGAGAACGATTTCCTCATTCTGTGATCCTGGGATATTCATGCCTTGCTGAGGCCCTCCTAAAATCAACCAGCAGCGCCCCCCTAGTAGCTGCCTTCCACACAGTGGGAAGCATGGGGCTTCCTGACCTGCTGTTTCTTGTCTCCTGAACACCTATTTATCCAGGGGGATTGCCAGTGGCCCATGCAACCCCCTGGCCAAGCCAGGCCTCTGAGGATGTGTGGGGAGCTGATGGGGCACTGTGTCAGGGTGAGAAGACCCTGCTTTTCAGCTGGACATATGCTCACCCTGTGGCAGGAAGCCCTCACCCCACCCTGGTGTGCAGCAGATGCCCTGCCCCCAGAAGGCCGGGGCGGGATGCCGGGGGTAGTGGCTGTCCGAGTAGGGAGGTGGCCCTGACAGCTGCTGTGTGAAGCCCCTGCACCCCCGCGGCCTGTGGGGGCAGATCGAGGAAAAGACCCTGAGCGAGGCAAAAGGGTGAAGGTGGAGGGAAATCTAGTTCTGGCTGAGCAGCAGAGGGCAAGGTGGGCTCCCAAGGTGGTTTGGGCCATCCCTGGCACGGACCCACCCCTGGAGGAGGGGAGCTGGGAGAGACGGGGCTCTGCTCCCCACCGCTCCCCTGACCAGTCCAAACTTGTGGACCCTGCCAGCCTCTCCCCCATGCCCCTGGCTCCTGCCCCTGAGTGATTATGGTGAGGGGCTGTCTTCTGCCATTCACAGCCGTCAAGAACCTGGAGACAGGCACGTTCATTTTAAATGAAGAGAATGATGTGGACCCCAATTCCAAATCCTTCATTGCTATGGGCGTGGAGTGGGAGTACCGGGATGAGGACGGCCGGGAGACGCTGCAGACCATGGGCCCTCTCCACGGCACCATCACCGTTCTGGTAAGTCGAGGAAGGGACCAGGCCCACCTCCCCCTGGCCGCCCAGTGGGGGTGCAAGCAGGCCACCGGAGGAGAGGTGGAGGGGGTGCCTGGGAACCCTGGACCTCCCTGCATCCTTCAGGCCACTCTCTGAACAGCCCCCCGTGGACTGCCCTTGGGACCAAAGGTCTCTATTGGTGTCTGACACGGAGCCTTGAGACATGAGACTCTGGGGTCGACTGGGTGACCTCAAACTCTCCCCTCTGAGGGTTTCAGTTTTCCCCTCCAAACGATATTCATGGCCACCTCTCAACAAGCCTATTTATGTCCGCCATCCCATCCAAATCTTGACCCAGGAATGACCCACAGGATTCAGGCCATTAGACCACCAGACCCAGGTCACACTGGACTTTGTCCCTAAGCAGGACTAGGGACCCCAAGTCTTCTGAGTCCAAGGCCGTTCCTGGTGATAGAGTCCCGAGGGGGCTTGATGTTCTTGGCTTTTTTTAATTTTATTTTTTATTTATTTTTAATGTTCCTATTTATTTTTGACAGACAGCAAGAGGGGGAGGGGCAGAGAGTGAGGGAGACAGAGGACCCGAAGCAGTCTCCATGCTGATGCAGGGCTCCAACTCATGAACCATGAGATCATGACCCGAGCCGTAGTCAGACACTTAACTGACTGAACCGGCCCCAGGTGCCCCTTAAGATTTTATTTTTAAGTAATCTCTCTACGTGGGGCTCGAACTTACAACCCTGAGATCAAGAGTCACATGCTCTACCAGCTGAGCCAGCCAGGTGCCCGGGGCTCTTGATTTTCAGATCGCTCTTTGAAAGTTCATTTTAGTTGCACAAGTGATACATTTTATTTGTGAGAAACGTAAAACACTAGAGATAAGGCTCAGGGCCCTTTAGCCCCTCTGCTAAGGCCAGTGCCCCATGGCACCTGAGCCCACCACCCGATACCAGAGCGTGCACCCATGGGGCCAGCATGTTTTATGTATGCATGTCCCTCTGCTGACCTCACCTGCAGGGTCTTGCCAGCCCCAGAAGTGCCCATGGTGACCTGACTGTGCCCATGCATATGCAGTCGGGCCTCGGTATGTGCTGTGTCTGTCCTGGCACATTCACCTGCTTGCCAAAGTGTATTTGTCATCCCTGTGTCAATAGTGGTGGAGTTTTCACGGACATTCACAGTCATGTGCGGAGCAGTGAAGGATTTGAGTCATCCAGCATGCACGTTCTCAGCCAAGCTGGCACAAGGCTCTGCTCCCTGTAACCAAGGGGCCTGTCCCCACTATGTGTGCTGCCACGTTTTTCACGTTTTTTTTATTTGGGGGGATGGTTCCACTGTTTAAAAATGGCCCCAAGCGTGGGGCACCCAGGTGGCTCAGTTAGTTGAGCATCCAAGATGGGATCAGGTTCAAGCCCCGCGTCAGGCTCTCTGCTGTCAGCAAACAGCCTGCTTCAGATCTTTTGTTCCCCTCCCTCTCTGTCCCTCTCCGGCTCCCCTCTCACTCTCAAAACTAAATAAAGCATTAAAAAAAATTTTTTTTTAATGGCCGCAAGCTAGTGCCGAGTGCTGTCAGCTGTTCCTGAGCACAAGAAGCTAGGTGGTGTGCCCTGCAGAGGAAACACGTGTGCCAAACGAGCTTCATTCAGGCCTCAGTCCTAGTGCACTGGCCATGAGGTCAGCGTTAATGTCAACAGTATCGAGGAAGGTGGCTTTAAACAGAAACACACATAAAATAAGATTACGTATTGACAGTCAGTGAAAGCATCCTGATCCCTCGCAGGACCCTAGCCCTGTGCTCCCGTGAGAATTCAGCGTTCTGGGGTGCTTTCTAGAACATAACTAACCTCACATAATGAGAGCCGGCAGCTCGTGTGCCTTGGCGTGAGTTTCTAAGCTGGCTGCCGAGGAAGGGTGAACAGTGGGGCAAACACCTTCGTGGCCATTTCTGGGCACAGGTCATCCCGCAGGGAGACGCCCGGATCTCACTGACGTACAAGTACATGATCCACGAGGACTCGCTCAACGTAGACGGCAACAATGTCCTGGAAGACGACTCTGTGGGCTACGAGTGGGCCCTGAAGAAGTGGACTCCTTGCTCCAAGCCCTGTGGTGGAGGTGAGGGGCCCCAGAGGGATTCAGGGCTGAGTGGGAGGGGTCTTCTGGGCAAAGGGCTTCCTGAGCCCACGGTACCCCGCTGCCTGCCTGACCTGAGTGAGGGATGTGCTAGGTATGAGCAGACTGGCCCCAGGGGCCAGAGAGTGAGGCAGCGGCCTGCCTGGGAGGGGGCAGAGGGTAGGCAGGAAGGGGTACTCAGGGCAGCAGGCAGCCAGAAGGGCATGTGGGGGCTTGGATGTCACCCATGTGGACCTGCATCAGGGGCTGGTCCTGGCGGGAGGAAGGTTGGTGTGCAGGCGCTTGGGTGGATTACCACAGCCTCACGAGGCAGGTGACAAGGCAGGTGAGGAGGGACTTGGGCCGTGCTGGGGGTGGGTGAAGGGGCCCCCTCTGCGGGTCCTTGTTCATTCAGAAAGGTGTCCCTGCCCTCCTGGGGCAGGACTTCGTGCAGAGCGGCCCCACCTGCCCTGGACTTCGAAGAGTCCACAGTTGGGTGGGACAGACAGACAGGCAGGAAGTTCTGGTCCACCCCATGTGGTCGCCGCTCCCTGGGAGCTGGACGAGATGAGAAGCAGAAGCAGGTGGCCAGGACAGACCTCCCTCAGGATGCCACCTGGGGTCCCACATCTCGAGGACAGAGAGGAGTTTACCAAAGTGGGGAGACCCATCCTGGGGCCCAGGCAGGTGGACGGCCCCTTCTGGAGTGCTCCCACCTGGGTGTATGGCACCCCAACATTCTGTTGAGCCTCCCTGCCCCCCTGGAGTTTTTCAGCAGCATGTCCTCCTGACTCTGTCTCCTATGTGTCTCTTGGACCCATCTTCCCAGTCCTGGCTCATTCTTGCTCCCTAGCTGGCCCTTGTGTGTCCACTGTCACCCCCAGAGTGCCCTATTAAAGGTCCCTTGCTGGTATCCCTTCCTGGCATCATTAAGTTTTAGCAGCTCCCTCTGCTCTTGGGAGAAAAACAAGATTCTCCTTATGGCCTCTGTGGTCCAGGCAGCTTGCTGACCTCTACCACTGCACTGGTGCCCCCACCCCTTGCTCACCAGGCCCTGGCCACACTGGCCTTAGCTGCTTTTCCTGGACATGCTGTGCTCCTGCCTCAGGGCCTTTGCACAGGCCACCTACTCCCCAGAAGCCATTCTACTGCCCTCTCACAAAATCAGCATCCTTCCATTCTCTGCTTTCTGGAACACCTCCAGACACCCAGATGAGAGCAGGCAGCAGACAGCCCCTGCGACATGGACACAGTCACATTCTCTTGTGTCTTACCCACAGGCTAGGGTTTTGAGATCTTGCAGTTGCTGACATATTGGGCTCTACAGTTCTCGTGGGGGCTGCCCTGTGCAGTGTAGGATGTTGAGCAGCATCTCTGGCCTCTACTTGCTAGATGCAAGTCACACCCCTTACCCTGAGTGGTGACAACTAGGTGTACCAGATATTGGCAGATGTCAAAATCGCCCCATTTGAGAACAGCTGCCCTAGGCTATGGTGGGAAGAGGCCATGTTTTTATGTTTAGCCACCTCCGGGCTCATCCTGAGTCCTCAGTGCGTGTGAATTCAAGATGGATTAAATGGCTAAGTGATGGAGAGGAAGCAGAGCCTTCCATTCTGCCCCAGGGAGGCAGCTTAGAGGCCAAGGAACAAGGCGGCCACTCTCCCTGGGCTCTCCCTTCACTCCCCTGGGGTACTGGGTGGACACTAGGCCGCACGTCTCCAAGGCCTGCCTCTGGCACACTGCCCCACCTCCCACCCCATCAGAAGGCTAGGCTGAATGGGGCTGAAGCTGCTTCTCCACACCCCCTGGAGGCCGCACTTGCCCCATGAGCCCCCTCGAGCTCTCGTCTTCAGGCTCCCAGTTCACCAAGTATGGCTGCCGCCGGAGGCTAGACCACAAGATGGTGCACCGAGCCTTCTGCGACGCCCTCACGAAGCCCAAAGCCATCCGCCGGGCTTGCAACCCACAGGAGTGCTCCCAGCCAGTGTGAGTTCCCCGGGGCCGCCCGGCTCTCCCAGCCCAGGGTCCCATGAGACAGGAGAAGGCAGACCCCTGGGGCTCCTGTGGAGGGAGGTGCGGGATCCAGGCCCTGAGCAGCTCTGGGCCTCACATTCCCTGCGACGTTTGGTGGATTCTTTCTCCCTCCCCCCATTTCATGGAGTCTAAGATGCCGTAGGCTGTATGGTGCATCCTTGCCTCAGACCTGCCGCACTGAAACTATACCACGCATCTTAGACATTGTGACATGTGGTAATGCTCGCATGGGAAACTGAGGCTCAGAGGGTACTGGCCTTGCTTCTGGTCCTGTGGTAGATGTCTCCCAGGCAGCTCATTGCAGCGGTGGCGGTCTTGACCTTCTGGCCCAGATTCCCTTTGCAGGGGCCCCCAGGGGAGAAGAGGGCTGGTAAACGGGCACATGGGGCTGCATGGGGTGGGTGCTGGCAGAGTCCACACTGCTGCCCTGGAGGGTTTGTGATGTCGGCAGAAGCTGAGAAGGGACAGATCTGGGGCTCTCTGTGCCCTCCCCCCCATCCCAACCAGGGTATCCCAGCAGTGGGTGACTGTCACCTGCAGGACCTCGGACAGAGGCATGGCCAGGCTCTAGGACATCTTTGCGGAACGGGAAGATGCCTGGGGTGGGGGGGTGGGGGCGGGAAAGCAGGCTGCTGCCATTGCTCTGGCTGGCTTTTTGAGGGTGGGGGGTGGGGGGTTGACCTGTTGCTCTGCCCCTACAGGTGGGTCACAGGGGAATGGGAACCTTGCAGTCAGAGCTGTGGGCGGACGGGCACGCAGGCTCGCACCGTGCGCTGCATACAGCTGCTGCACAACAACACCACCCGCTCCGTGCACACCAAACACTGCAATGACGCCCGGCCCGAGGGCCGCCGGGCCTGCAACCGTGAGCTCTGCCCTGGCCGGTGGCGGGCCGGACCCTGGTCCCAGGTAAGCGGGCCCTGTGTCCTCAGCTCCCAAACCAAGCTTGCGGGGGATTGAGGGGGTCAGGGAGCTCCACCTCAGTCTGGATGCAGTCCCTGCCCCGGGCCACATCCTGTAGGTCTCAGGGCACCAGTGGGGCTGCACGGCCAGTGCTCTGTCGAGAGACCAAGTAGAACGTGTCCACTCTGTAGGGCAGAGGCTGCCAGGTGCTACAGGAACCTGGAGTCCTAGGAGACGGAGGGTGGCCTGGACTCCAGGATACGAGGGGAGACCTGGGCTCTCATCCCTGAGGGCAGAGAAGGCCGGCCAAGCTTGCAGGAGGGAACATGAGCACAGGAGGCCTTGAACTTGGGCTGCAAAGAACAGTAAGGATGGTCTTGGGCTCGAGGAGCAGTCTAGGGGCAGGGCTGAGCTGACATGAGCAGGCCTGGGGGGTCGGGGTCCCCAACCCGACCAGCCTCGGGCTCACTGATTCATTGCAAAGACTCCCAGGACTGAGAAGTTGTTGTACTCACAGGTACAGGGTATTTCAGTGAAATCATAGTACAGTTAGCAAAGGGGAAAAGTGTGTGGCAAAGCCCAGAGGAAGCCAGGCACAAGCTTCCAGGCGTCTCCTCCCTGGGCTCCCAAGGACACCCTGGATTCTGTCAGCAACGGTGTGTGATGCCACACGTGAAATGCCACCAGCCAGGGAAGCCCACGTGAGCCCGGGTATCCAGGGTCTTCACTGCGTGGCTGACACTAGTTAGTCAGGTGGGGAGCTCACCGTAAATCACACTATTGGTACAGACTAACCGGCCAGACCAGTGCAATGTGACCCGAGGCCTCGAGTCTTGCAGAAACACTCTTACCAGAGAGAACACTCCATGAACTTGGTTCCCCAGAGCTTCCCAAGCGCCAGTCCTGAAAGCAGGCCTTCCTTGGCACTCTGTAGGGTTTGAGCAATCTGGGTCGGCCGTGTCAGCCCGTCCCCACACACAAGATGAGGACTTGAGAATTCTCCCTGGGCCAGGCTGGGCCGAGCTGTGAGCCAAGCCAGGAGTCTGGGTGTGATGGCTTCTGCTGGCCTGTCCCCAAGCAGGGTGGTGGAGCCTCCAGAGATGGAGGTGGCTGCTGGAGGCTGGACAAGGCAGGACAGGCCTCTGACGCATCCTCTACCCTCTGCCCCTCACCACCTTCCGCATGTTACAGGGCTACATGTGTGGGGAGCTCTTTCAGGCCCAGCCAACCATGGGTTGGGGGGCCTGACTGGTGACTCTCCACCTGCAGTGCTCTGTGACCTGTGGCAATGGTACCCAGGAGCGGCCAGTGCTCTGCCGAACGGCGGATGACAACTTCGGGGTCTGCCAGGAGGAACGGCCTGAGACAGCCAGGATCTGCCGGCTGGGCCCCTGTCCCCGTAAGCCCCCCATCCCAGCCCCCAGTGTACAGCAGGTCCAGGGTGAGGGGGGCTGGTCCAGGCGAAGGCACCTCTCCCCACAACTGGCCAGACTCAGCATCTGTGAACCGGAAGGAGAAGCTGAGCCCTCTCAGGCCAGCGCAGGGATCGTTCCCCAGTCAGAAATGGGACTCTGCCATGCCTTCCTTGCTGGCACTCCCCGTTGGTCTGGGAGACAGAAGCAGATGCATGGTGACCACACAGTGGGGCTCAGCCAGATGTGGCACCCATGCCCATGTGAGGACTGCCTGTGGGAGTAGGGGGTACCCGTGGAAACTGGGGGTGCCTAGTGCCCTCTGAACCAGAACACCATCTGCGTGCAGACACCTTGCCAAGTGCCATGTGCATCACCTCTTTTGGTCCCAGAAATAGCTCAAGCCGTAGACCCCACCATGAATCCCATCTACAAAGGAGGGCATTCAGGGAGGTCAGATGTGCCCACCCAGCTGGGCAGGGGGATAGATCCAGGATTCACCTACTCCCCATGTTCCTGGGAAGCAGGCCAGGTGGGGCTGCTGGGAGCAATGCAGCGATAAGGTGTGGCAGAGCCTTGGTGCTAGGTTGTAGCTGAGACTCAGGAGGCCCGGTGGGGGGTGGGGGCAAGCAGGAGGACTGGGCGGCTAGAGCCCATCTGTCTGAGGGGTCTTTGAATGCCGAGCTAGGGTGTCAGGGCCCTGGATGCCTGGGGCTATGGAGTGTCTCTTGCCCGGGGTGACGGTGCGGCCCAGCGTGGGGCCACGGCAGCCACAGCCCCTCCTCTTCCCTCTAGGAAACATCTCTGATCCTTCCAAGAAGAGCTACGTGGTTCAGTGGCTGTCCCGACCGGACCCCGACTCTCCAGTCCAGAAGACCTCGTCAAGTAACCGGCCCGTTTATAACTCTGCCTCTGCCCTCCAGTGCATGCCCTGCGCCCTGTGGAGCTTGCCGTGGGCTCCCCTCCTCTCTTTCTATGGAAAACTTCCCTGACTCTTCCTGAGCGCTCTCTCGGTTGAATCTGATTTCTCCGGGCCTCTGTGCTCGGCAGTCTCCTTTGGAGCCGCCCAGCCGGCTGCCTGGCCGGGAGGGCCCGCCTCTGCAGAGGCATGGCCCCAGGGCAACTGGCCTCTTGTGGGGGGGCCGGGACCTGGTTGGTGATGGCATGTAAAGGGGCAAAGATCTGTCTTGGTGCTGGAGGGGCCAGAGGCCAGAGTGCAAATGTGACCACTTGGTGACCACGTCTCGGGGCCACATCCCTGCAAGCTGGAGCTGCAGGTCAGAAGTCAAGGGGCAAGCCCACCGGTCCCCTTTCAAACACCGCCCACCAGCAAGGCGAGGCCAGAGGGGCTCTGGGGCGTGTTTTGTGCCGCTGAGCTGGGTGGCCCGGCCCTGAGATTCCGGGGGCGCGTCGGGGGCTTCCCGGCCGCCTCTGCTGTTGCTGCTGCTGCTGACCCTGTGCTGAGTGTGTCCTCCTGACTTGTGTGACTGTGGCCTGCTTCCTGTGGCCTTTGCGTCCAACTTACACAGCCCTTGGCCACCCCCCTCCCTGAGCCCCATCCCCTCGCGGGTTCGGGTTAAACAGAGACGGCGGGGAACGTGTCCCTCCAGTGGGACACTGGGACACACCGCCCCTTCCATTCTCTGTCCATTAGCTCCAATGGCCTTTTCTCATCGTGCACACATGACCCCATCCATAGAGGTGAGAGATTGAGAGAGAGGTTGAGAGAGAGAGAGAGAGAGAGAAACTGATGTGGATGCGGCCACCTACCAGTGTGAACAACTACAGAATTACCTCAATTTTTATTGCTTTTTTGCTTAGACAAAACTATGTAGAAAATGCCTTAAAGTTGAAAGGTAACAGATTTGGCTGCTAAGTCCAGCTTCAGAGCGGGGACGGGATCCAGGTATAGGAAGCAGGCAGTGGCAGGCCCAGGGGGAGGCAGTCCCACTCATCCACTTTTCGCCCAGAGTAAGGTTTCCCAACCCAGAGGGCCTGACTTCCCTCTGGCCCTGGCGTCCTGTGCAGGGGACCCAGGTGTGCTGGCTCCAGCCAACACTGCGGAGAAGAGACCCACTCTGAGGCCATGCGGCCAGTCGGCACTGACTGTTTGCTGAGCCCCCCGCCCCTATCCTGGGCGCTCCCCCAGTGCTGCCTTACCCAGAAGGCAGCACGCCCGGCCCCTGGTGTGACCCGTGTAGCGCCCCCGCCCCAGCCCCCCTGCCACCTGCTAATGGCATCCCTGGGACCAGCACCCAGCCTCCTCCCCGGCTCCAACTACTGTTATGTACATACTCGGTGTGTAACGCGTACTAATTCTCACGACTGTTAACTTCCAACTTTGACTAGGCCACGCGAGTGACTTTGACTCTGGGAAGGTGCAATACGGTCCTGGGCATTGTGCTCTCTGTCTATATGCACTTTGGTTTATCAGGGATATTTTATTAGTGTTTTGTATGTATCCAATGACGTAATTAACATAGGCTCCATTGTTGTCGCTTTTCCGGTTTTTTTATGAGACAAAGTTTAGTGTGTGCCAAAGTGACTGTGGAAATGACCTTTTCTCCTAATAATGGAAAGACTTTCCTGTCATGCATCCCACAAATAAACTCAATAAAAGTTCAGTGAAACTGGGTGCTTGGGTTTGGCACGCTGCTGGCTCCTTCTCTTCGCCTCCATAGCTGACGGCGCTGGCAGACCTGCGGGGACCCTTCTGTCGCATTAGTGACCGGGTTTCCGCTTCCAGTGACTCCCGCCGCCCCCTATCCCCCTGCCCAATGTGGATATGTAGGGTTTCTCCCCCACTGAGGTGCATACCCCTGTCCCCAGGCATTTTTCAAAATGTGACAGCGGCCCATGAAGACACTCCACTATGATTTTGACTTTCGACTCATTCGTGCTGAATGAGCCCCTTTGCGGGAACGTCTGGGTTCTCTCCCACAGATGGAAGTTTTTCACCATTGGGAAAGGGTCCCGGGGTGGGTTTCCCCTACCTCTGGGATCAGTGGAGTGGGAATGTGGGGTCAGTAGCCCAGATAGTGCTGGCCCAGGTCACCGCCCCCCAAGCCACCACTGGGCCACTGCCACCTGTTCAGGGAGGGAGAGGTGCCCATCTGGCCCAGGTCGGGGGCGTGGGGCGGGAGAAGGGCCAGGCAGCGGCAGCTCCGGGCACCTGGCCTGTGCTCAGCCGTGCCCACCCGCGTCTCCACAGGCCTCGCGTCAGAAGCTGCAGGGCCTGGTGCATTGGCTCACCTCTGACAAGGGCCAGACAGCAGGTCGGGGTCCAACAGGGACCTCCTATCAGCGGGCTTCTCTCTCTTCCCTCTCCTATGGAGGGGATCCCGTGCCACAGAGGAGGGAGATCCTGAGAAAGGATGACATGGGGCCACCCGGTGTCATGGAAACAGTCTTGGAGTCACAGGGCCAGGTCCCGGGGGGCCAGCCTGCCAGTGCAGGTCACGGTAGCGTGGCTGAATTCACTCTGCCCAGAGCTCTGGTCACTGAAAGGAATGCCAGCTCCAGAGACACAAGACCTTGAGAGACACAACTTCCTCTGAGAGAGCCGCGTCCACGCAGTGTCCCTTCCCAGATGGATCAGGAGGAATCCCCGTGGAAGGGGCTTCCAGGCCAGAGCTGCAGGCAGGCCACCGACAGCCCAGGGGACCACACCAGGGACAGTCAGGGTACGTGAGGGCCCCGCCGGGGGGCCCACGCTCCTGTACCCTGTGGCACAACATTTTTGGATGGGGAAATGCTGCATGAGTTTCAATTGAGAAAAAGAACCAGGTTTTCTCCATCCTAGCCTTTCCCGAAGCGTGGGACACAGGGAGGTTTAATTCAGAGGGTGCGTAAATGTGGCCTGAATCCCCCCGCCTCTGAGCAGCCCCTTCCTAGTTCCCTTCACCCTTCACGACGCCGGCACCCCCCTCACACTTGCTCGCTCTCTGCAGCCCGGAGCTGTGCAGGCGAGAGGGTCTCCCTTGCCATTTGAGGAATTAAACTTTGGGTGAAAAGTTTGTTTTCCTAATTAGGGTCACCTTTATTGATCACTGCTACTTGCCCGTGAATGGTGGTAGTGTAAGGTTTTTCTTCTAAAATAAATGTTAAGTTAAAGAAAAAAAAGACATTAATTTAAAGGAGGAAACACAGGCAGGACTTGGCTCGAGCCAAGATTGGTGGGAATGGCCCACAAATGGCTTCAGTCTAGGAGAAGGGGTTTACTCTCAATGGTTTGTTGTTGGCTGGAAGGCAATAGGTCTTGCCAATTCATTGCTACCGGAAATGGCTGAAGACCAGGTACTAGGACACCGGAATCTTATTCTTGATGTAGTACAGATGCTTTGCCAGTCAGTGCCTCTGGCCACATCATGGGCCCTTTGGTGGTGTACTTCCCCTCATCTCGGAGGGCTCTCTGCTCAGTGATAAAACTGTTGGCATCCTTTTAAGAATGATTGGCACCTGGGTGGCTCAGTTGGTTGGGTGTCCGACTCTTGATTTCAGCTCAGGTCATGATCCCAGGGTTTGTGAGTTTGAGTCCCATGTTGGGCTCTCTGCTGACAGCGTGGAGCCTGCTTAGGATTCTCTCTCTCCTCTCTGCCGCTCCCCCGCTTGCACTGTCTCTCTCAAAAATAAATAAATCTTAGAATGGTTCAGCAGGGGCAGGGGGCACCTGGGTGGTTCAGTCAGTTAAGCATCCGACTCTTGATTTCAGCTCAGGTCATGATCTCACAGTTCATGGGTTCAAACCCTGTGTCGGGCTGTGCACTGACAGCATGAAGCCCACTTGGGGTTCTCTCTCTCCCTCTTTCTCTGACCCTTCCCCACTTGTGTGTGTACTGTCTCTCTCAAAATGAATAAACTTCAAAAACAAATGGGAATGATTATTTTGAAAAAGTTTCTAGGGTAATATTAGCATAGCCAAACTCCTGGCCCGTGGCTTTCTTAACTCTTTATTCATTCATTATCTTCATTTTTAAAAACTTAAAGCAATGCAGCCACCGTGCAGAGGAAAATAGACATAGAAGTCCAACCTGAAGGGCAGGTGAAGGGAGGCGCCCTGGAGACGGGGACCCTTGGCCCCCCAGCTGTCACCTGCCTGTTAGTTCCAAATCGTCCATTCACTCAGGGACATCTGTCCAGTGCTTTCTGTGTGAGGCTCTGACTCGGGCACTGGGAGGCTTCAGAGCTCCCGACCACAGGTCGGCAAACTTTTCTCTGAAGGGCCAGACAGTAATGGTTAAACCTTATGTACAAAACCAGGTGGAGGCACCCACTTGGACCATGGGAGTAGCTGGCTGACCCCTGCCCTCTACAGAGGGGATGCTGGTTTCCCAGGATCTCAGCCTGGGGGGAGAGAAGTGAGGGGGAGGCTTAAGTCATTTATGTGAAGAAGGCGGCACAGGTGACAGGGGAGGGTGCTGCTGTGGGGCCAGGGTGGCCCCACTCCCGGTAGCATCACCAGGCCTGGCTCCGTCTGTGTTTGTCGAGGCCCCTGCCCCCACCATGTCCAGCCGGGTTGGACAGTCAAAGCCAGGGGTGGGAGGACACCACCCCCTGCCTTGTCAGAAGTCTCACTGTGTCTCTGGAGGGCTGTGATCAGTGGTTTTTACACCTGGTGGCTGCCAGAAAGGGGAGAAGGGTCAGGGGGTGGGGAAGGGGCCAGGTGGGGCTCCAAGCACCCCCGAGCTTCAAACAGGACCACTCCAATTTCCTCTGTCTCATACACTGGGCATCTGTAAGATTTTATCTGAGCATCCCAGGATCTTCTCATGTGATTTCTGGGATTGGCCCTTAGCACGAGGCCACCTGCCTTTCCCCCTCCACATCTTGAGCCTGCTTCTGGCTCTCTAGGTTGGGAAGGCCAAAGCTCTTCCTGAACAGCTGATCTGTGTTTACCTCTTTCACCTTGTGCATCACGCAGTCTGGCACATTTCCTCCTGATTTGGGCCACTCAGAAGGTTAAAGTTGGGTCCACCTCTGGTGGTATGTGCCTCTCTGTGTTCTTCATGCCTATCATGTTACTATTTTAAAATCCATAATTTCCCTGTTTTTGACTTCCTCAGTTATTCACGTGTGTCTTTTTTCACACTGATATATTTCTGCATTGTCTGATTCACTGGTCTAGGCTCTGGGGCTAGAGAAGCATCTAAATATGGCTTGGGGCTCTGCCCTGTGGAACTTACTGGATAATGAAAACAGGTGACAGACACCTTATCTGACAACTAAATGTGAACTTGCCAACTGGGATAGAGTGTTGGGAGGGAGAGAACTTCCCAAGGGAGGGCAGGTGATTCTTGCCCAGAGATGTGTTTCAGCTGAGCCTAGAGGAGGAGAGGAGAGCAACTGAAGGAAGACAGAGGGGGTGGCCACAGTATGTGCAAAGGCCCTGTGGCCAGGGGGAGCCCAGTATAACGTAGGGGGTCAAGGCCTGAGTGAAGCTGGAGAGGTGAAGGAGACAGGTCCTCACCCTAAAATCAATGAGGGGCAATGCAGGGACTTCAATCAGGACAGTGACATGGTCACACCTTCAGTTGAAAAACAGCATTCTGACAAGAACAGGATAGTGAACAAAAAGGAGAAAGAATTGAGATAGGTCAGCAGAAAGGAGGCTCTTACCACAGTGCAGACAAGAGGCAAAGCAGCTTGACCCATGGAGGTGGGAGAGAGGGGAAATGGACACACCTGAGAGTGGCTAGGAGGAAATACCAACAGACTTGGGAGTGAACAGACGGGGTGTGCCTGGGGTTCGGCTTATGCCCTGGAAAGGCCATTCTCTGAGACAGGTGGTGCCAGCCAAGGCCCTGGGTTTGCACTGGGCATGTGGAGTCTCAGGCACATTTGGGACCACAGGGGTTAGGGGGCTGTCCTATAGGCAGTCCTATCCGAGAGTCTGAAGCTCCAGGAATTTGGGGTTGGTGTCCGGTCAGGTGGGTCACCAGCCTGGAAGGGGAAATTATAGGCTGGAGCAATGGGCAGGCAGCAGGCACCATCAGAACTTCCTGAATGGGAGAGGACCTGCTTATCTGTTACTGCGAGAAGTTTCTATGGGCTAGCAGAGTCACAGACGTGGGTGTAGACAGTGCCCCGTGTTGGTGCACAGAGTAACTGCATCAGATGTGGTTTCTACCCATGGCTGCCTCTTCCTTCCCTTTTTCTTTCCCTCTTTCCTCCCCACTTCCTTTCTAGGAGACAAGGTCAAGGAGGGAGAGGGAGAGAAAGAGGAATGCGGCAGAGGTTGTGAGGGAAAGGTTTGAGATGCTCACTGCGGGGGTGGGGGGGTGGGGGGCTCAGAGGGTGGCTGAACAGAGAGATACAAGTAGGCAGGTGGGCCCAGTGAGGCCAGGGATCAGGAATTTACACCGATCTGCTATTCCCTGTTATGTTGTCATAATGACTTATTCTTTCATGTTGAATGAATTCCTGCAAATCCTCTCAAATTCTGTGGAGTGAGGTGGTGAGGGAGAGGGAGAAGGGGAAGGAATTTGGGAAGAAGACAGGGGGAGAGAGTAAGAGCAAGAACAAGGGTAGGAGGGGTTGTGTGGGTAGAACAACAGCTGACCTTGAACCACACGGGTTTGAACTTCACCAGTCCACTTACACACGGGATTTTTTTTGATAAATACAGCACAGCACCCTAAATGTGTGTTTCTCTGCCTTACGATTTCCTTAATAACATTTTCTCTTCTCTGGCTTACTTTATTATGAGGATACAGTATATACTACATATATCATACAAAATCTGTGTCCGCCCTGCTGTTTGTGTGGTCGGGAAGGCTCCCGGGCAAAGTAGACGGCTAGTAGTTAAGTTTGGGGCCAGTCAGATGTTGTATGTGGATTTCCAACTGTGTGGGTGAGGGTGGGATGGCACCCCTAACCCCCACGTAGCTCAAGGGTCAACTGTGATACAGCTGCAGACAGTTGGAGCCCAGCCAGGAAGAAAACAGCTGTGCAGGGAGAGACACTGCCCTCTATAGAGGCTAGAACGCGGTGGCCAGCTTCTTGGGCAGGAAGGAAAGAAAAGGAAAGGAAAGGACACACCGGGCGGGAGGACGAGCCTGTGTGAAGGGACCGGGTTTTGGAGCAGTCTGTTGGGGGATGGCCAGGAGCCCAGAGTGGCGGGGCTGTGCGGTGGAGGCAGCAGTGAAGGGACATGAAGCTGGTGGGTAAGTCAAGGCAAGGGGAAGAAAGCCCAGACAGGTTTGGGTGAGGATGGGAACATATTGTGCAGGAAATGTGGTGAGGCTGCCGCCAAGTCTCTTGGGTTTGTTCTATCGGGTTTTAGAAATCGGTCTCCTCAGGTTCAATTTTGTCATAGTTAACGGCCTAGAGATGACTGCAGGGCCGAACTCCGCCACAGGATCTCATTGGGGTTACCAGTGGGATGTCAGAGATGAATCTGACGCAGTCCCATTCTTTCACAGGAATCACTCCCCAGGCCTCATTTCTGTCTGGGACTCTGAGAGATACAGAAAACCCCAGGGGCCTGCCTGGAGGCAGGGAGCACCGCTCACAGCTTGTGTGGCCGTGCACTGCTGCAGCGCTGCTGACATCAGGACCACACGCACTTTGGGCGTGAGCTCGCTTGCCTCTGTGCTGTCTCTGGGCTCTTTCAAACGCCTCCTCCTGCTTCCCCTGGGGGGAACGAGGCCCCCCCACCTTATCCTGTCCTTTGGTTATGTGCTTCCCGCTTTTCTCTTTCAGAGGCCCGCTGCCAAGGCGACAAGTCAATGTTCTGTAGGATGGAAGTCTTGTCGCGCTATTGCTCCATCCCAGGCTACAACAGGCTGTGCTGCAGATCCTGTAACCTGCACGACAACCTCACCGATGTGGATGACAGGGCGGAGCTGCCACCTGGGAAGAACAATGACATTGAAGACCTCGTGCCCACCCTCCCGGTGCCCACCCTCGTCATGGAGGTGCGGCCTCCGCCGGGCACGCCCTTGCAGGTGCCTCTCAATGCCTCTAGCGCCAACGGCACTGAGGATCACCCAGATACCAACGCAGTCGACGTGCCCTACAAAATCAACGGCCTGGATGAGGAAGGCCAGCCGCCCAACCTGATCCCTCGACGACCGAGCCTGTATGAAAAGACCAGAAACCAGAGAATCCAAGAGCTCATCGATGAGATGAGGAAGAAAGAGATGCTCGGGAAGTTCTAATAAAATGGAAAGATAGCATCAATAGCATTTTTTTTCTTGCTTATAGATTATATTCCATGGGATGGCAGATCGTGGAGAGGAAGTGAAAATGTCTGATTCCAACAGGTTTTAAGAAAACAAAGAGGAGAATGACATAAACATCTATACATGTGGTTGTGAGCGCGGGGCAGCTAGGTTCACGCATGTGTTTGTGTCCCAGCTCTGGAATGTTCTAAGTCCTGTCCTGGGGTTGGGTGTGGAGCGGGGAGAGGAAACACATGCCCCAAGTTTCTGAGCAGTGATTGGGAATCTTCCTGTCCTTGGTGGTGACAGCCCTTCTGGAGAACATTCTGGAGAAATGTTCTGCAGGAACATTTCCTACCAATCCCCAGACCGAGGCACAAGCCCCATGGGGAACTCTTATTAGGAGAAACAGTGATTTGTTTACTAATTGACCAGTCACTGAGATGAGCACAATGAAGTGGAGGCCGTGAACTTGAAAGTCCGTGACGTCAAGGGCCGGGCAGGTGTCGAGGATGAGTGTGGCAGCCCATGGGGGACTGTGACCAACCTGAGAGCCGCACCCCACTAGTGCTGCTTTTGGGTTCCAGCCACTACTGCCTCTGTGACCGCAGGCTCCTGGGGCCAGATAGGGTGCTTTCAGTAGAAGTCTAGATTTGCATGCGAAATCCTCAATCCTAAAAGTTCAACCCAAAATATTTCCGGGGGGCGGGAGGGTTCTGGAAGGTCTTTTAGGGTCTAGAGCCACCAGGCTGCAGCCTCTGGTCTCCAGGCTCGGCCAGACGCAGTCTCTCGAAGTAACGACTTAAGGAAGGAAAGCCATCTGGCCCGACTGGCGCTCAGGCACTGTGTTTGACTCAGCCCACCCTGAGCTGCGAAGCTGTCTGCTTCTTCCCCAGAAGGTACGGAGAATCCTGTAACTAACTGGACTTGATCTGAACAGTGGGCTGCCTTTCCTACAGGAGGAGAAGACCGCAGGGTGCACTCTCCGGCTCTCCCAGCCTCTTTCCTATCGGCTCACCCGGCCTGCGTGCTGCCTCTTGGCCAGCCTGGCCTTGGCCCCGGGGCTCCCCAGGGGAGGCTCTCCCTCCCCAAGTGCGTTGGAAGAATGAGGGGGGCATGCACTCTGCTGGATAGTCCAGCGACTTTCCCAGAGGGGAGAGAAGGGGAGTGGCCGTGCTCTGGGTTCTGAGATGGTGCTCTCCCTGCTCAGGTTTGCTCCTAAAGACGAAGGCCAGCTTCTATTGCCTGCAGGGATGGGGCGGGGGGGGGGGGGGGGGGGGGGGGGTGGCCTTGCTCTGTCTCGCCCTGCTCCATTCCTTGGCAGTTCCAGCAGTGAACTGTAAGATTTGGCCTCCCATGAGAAGCACGGGGTGGGGGGTGGGGAGAGCTTGCTTTATCTTGTGCTGCTCCTAAGCTTTGACAACTTCTCTTTTCGGTATAACGGTGCTTTGTGAGCAAGATGTGAATGGAGAGAAGCAGAAAGGGAGGGGGAAGGTGGACGGGAGGATGGCGACTAATTTTTACCTCTCCCTGCATTGATATTTTGTGAACATGTGGCTTGCTTAAACTTCCCCAAATTACGAGACCCAGGGGGCACTTCAGCTGTTTAGCTGGGCCAAGCCTGACACATGATTCTGAAGCTTTTTGTGTCTAGGAAGGTTCTAGAGCCTTTGTATTCTCACCAGTCATAGATTTTAGAGAGCTCTTTTCTGTTTCGTTCCCCATTTTATGGATGAGAACACTGAGGTTCAGGAGAATACCATGATGGCTACTTTATACTGAGTCTGAGGTGCTAGGTATGTTTGATTCTGTGCATGCGTGCGGGTGTGTGTCTGTGTGTGATCTAGGGCCAAAGTGAGGGTGTAGGAACCAGTGAGAGCGATATCTGGGATGATGCCTACCTTTCAACTGGGCGGTAACTAGCCTCCCCAACCCCCGCCTGTACCAGCCGCCTCCCTCCTCTCTGCCATCTCGCCCCACACATACTCCTGCATGTGCTGGTGTCTCAGAGGAGCTTGCTGGCTTCTAAGAAGCAAACTGGAGAAAACATTCTTGGAGATCTCTCACGGTATCACCTCTTTGACAGATGTGGTGTAACGTACTTTTGCAATCCTGTCTCTCTATAATCAGGAAAGGGGTGTCTCAGCTTTCTCTCACTGGTTGACCCCTGGCAGCTGGTGCTATTATTCACAGGCTGAAGGACTGGGTAGCTCTTGCTTGGGTCTGTCCTGGGATGCAGAGGAAATTCAGGGTGACTGACCCTCACCAAAGAGTATCACTCAGTTTACCCAGCCTGGGGGCCTCAGGATGGGAACAGTCCATTCCCAGATCCCAACAAAGCAGGGCTGCATGTCTCGGGGACTGGAAGCCTTTGGGGAGAGGCCCCAGGTGGGACACCCCCAGGGTACCTGTCTTCTTCTGGAAGGAGGGACATGCCCCCTGGGAACTGTAGGCCGGCATGGCCACCACCCCATGTGTCATACTCAGTATCTGGGGCCATAATACCCACAGGGCTCTCTAGAACTAGACAGTCCTCAGGGGTCTCTCTGTCTAAGGAACACAGGGTTTACCAGACTTTGAGAAACTCATCTCCACTGAGCTTGGGACCAGTCGGAGAGCCAACTTAGCCACAGTCCCATGACCTTTCAGAGCCGGCATCCATGTCGGGGGGCTCCCGCAGCCTGCAGGCCAAGAAGATTTCCTAGCTGACGTTCTGGAACAGCACGCTGAGAACTCAGAGGTCCCCTCTGACTGCGGCTCCAGAAAACTACGTTTGTGGGGAGACAACCTGCTGGGGTTTGGGGACTTGGCTCTCTGATCTACTCCTTTTGGAAAACCCATGGAATTTCCTGTATAAGCCTTTTGTTTGTATTTTAAGGTTGTTTGTTTGGAGTCTATACATGGTGCTCAGCAGCAGTCTCTATCAGGTGAAGCATGATGACTATGTAGCCAGGCAGCCGCTGCACGAAAAATCATCATGGTGCTGAACTCAAATCACAGCATTTTATCTTATCCATCACAGCAATCAACGTATTTGTTTTCTGTATAGAAAAATTTGGCTTCTTGATTTTATAACTTATTAAAGTCGAAATGTCTGTGTATTTTGCACACCATGCCTGCGTTTGTTTGTTACCTTGACTACACTACCCATGTCTTCAGCCTACACTTGGGTGGGGGGAGGGATGTGCTGCCCTCACAAGGGGGGGATGGGGCCACCAGGAGGCCCCGAGCCTACTGGCTAGGCCAGCTGCTCAAGTTGGGACCCTGTGCCTGGCAAGGGGCCCCCAGAAGGACAGGTCTCTGCTCCCAGATCCCCAGGGAGTTGGCTGTCCAGGAGACACCACTTAGCGGGTTGCTTCCAAGCAAACCTTTAGTTCCAGGAGAAGATGAAAAATCTCCTGACTCCTCCTCCTCCCTGATTCCGACCCCTTCTCTCCTGTAATTAGGGTTTCCAGAAACAACACTAGATGCTGAGTTACATTCGAATTTCAGAGAAACAAATCACATTTTAGTATAAAATTGGGACACACTTGAAAAATTATTTGTGGTTTCTCTGAAGTTTAAATTTATCTGGGAGTCCTATGTGTTCATTTGCTAAATGTGGTAACCACCCCCCCCCCCAATCAATATTCCACTTTTAAAGACAAGCCCATTCTGGCTGGCCCTTGGATAGTATCAGGTGTCGGGAGGAGGGAGTTGAAGGAAGGAAGAGATTTCTCTTAACGCCCCCAGCCACAGAGGAGGCAGACAGGTCGTGTGGGCAGTGCTGGGGAGAGGGGCCAATCTTACCAGTTTGCACTGAGGTTGGAGGTGGCTTTGGAGTACACAGGATTTCTCATCTTGTTCTTCATTGTAACCTGTTTTGACTCCATTATTACAGTGCAGTTAGTCCTTTACAATGGGGGGAGAGGGACATGGGATGGGTGTGAGTGTGTGTATTAGGAGAGGGGGCAAAGCAGAGTTGGGGGAGCAGAACTGGCTGAAACTAGGTATTTGCAAAGGTGTTTCCGTAACTGGGTGACCAGGCGAAGTCATTTCAGACAGGCCTAGGTTATAGAGGGAATGGTAGGCAAGGATGGTCTGTGCTTTCTGAAGAATGTTGATAAATGGTTAGGAGGAGCAAGGTGACATTACAGGTATTGGCCACCACTCTCTCCTCTACACACCATGTAAGTCCCTGACCCCCAGGCACAGAGCAGGCACGCATGGTCGTACTCATGGCTGATGCCCTACTGTGCACATCCTTAGCCCAGGGGAACATAGTTGTCCCCCATTTAGAGGCCGTGTGGCCAGTCTCTCTGAACTTCATGACCCCACACTGTTTCTTCACTGCGCTGAGTTTAGATGCTCCTATGCCATACTCCCACAGCTTTATACCCAAACATTCATATGCCCACCCCCAATCATGCATATGCGTTGGAGGGGCCTTTCTTGCACCCTCCACGCTGCTACATAGAAGCTTTTACATCCACTCGTGGCAGGTGGAGACTGGACAGACAGATGCCAGGAAGTGTTTGCCTTTCAGAATGAGACTTCCACATTGTTCTCTTTGAGGGCTCCCCCAGGGACTAACCTCAAATACAAGTAAAAGACACACGAATACACCGCCTCAGTGAACGAAAACGACTAGTACCTTGGTTCAACTAACGTTCTTCTAGTTTAGATCTAGTTTAGATCTTCTAGCTTAGATCACTGACTTTCAGCCTTTCTTTTTTTAAATTCTACATATTTATGGCTGTAAATTTCCCTGTAAGCACAGCACTAGCTATACCCCCAGAAGTTTTAATATTTCATACATTTATTATCATTCTATCCCAAATATTTTCTAACTTCCATTGTGACTCCTTCTTTGACCTAAGAGTTATTTTAAATCCTGCTGCTTAATTTCCAAACATTAGGGGCTACTCTAGTTATGGACTGTTATAGATTTTTAGCTCTTTTATGGTAGTCAGAAAATATTTTCTGAAAGATTTCAGCCCTTTGAAATTTGTTGAAGC